TTGCTAGTCTTTAGCTGCCATCCTGATCTTTGGTTATCGGTAACGGTTTCTTTTGAAGAAATTATACAGTCTTTCCTTGGTTGGTCTTGTCAGTGGTTCGCTATCGCACTTCCGGCGAAGTTACAGTATCTTTGATATCCGAGCTGCCTGTGTGTCCAACTTTGGTTGCACCACTTCTTCTTCTAACGTATGGGTCTGTTAACGTAGACCTTATTATTAGAAATGTTCCAAATACTGCATTATTCTATACGAAATACCAGATTGACAAATTTCGTCACCTGCGTGACATTGAGAAAACGGACTGCCTTTAGTAATGTGGAAATGAATTGTTCTTTACATAATTTCTAGAGTGGCTGCATTTTTCGAACAGGGAGAACATACCAATAAAGGCGTCAATGTAAAGAGCATTAAAAATGTAAACATGTAAGGAATGAGATCCAAAATTGACGCCCAAGTAGGAGTAGTATCGGTGCCACTTGTTACAGTAACTCTTTGCAGTGGTCGAGTTCTCACAGATTATTGAATTACTCACTCGTTGTTTGTTCATTCCTGACTGAATAACTAATTGCTAAATTGATCCAGGTTACGACTCGTTTTGAGGCACCCACATTCATTGTTCAAGTCTCAGCTGATGGTACACATTAGATTGTAGATATTTCCTCCTGACATACCATGTGTCCTATCATCGTTACCGTGTTCTTTATTGGAGCACAGTACTTTTATTTAGGCTAATGGTCGTATGACCGGTCATCAACTTAGTTTCGGTAACTGATGCGTCGTCTGAAGGTGAGGCAGCCGTAGCGCTGACTATTTGATTAGACTAAATTTTACCTCGTCTTTTATTTGTTGCTTTTATATTGGCGAATATGCCTGTGGCCATGTGCCATTTCCAAAGTCGTACCATAACGAATGAGTTTTAGAAAGTCGAAGCTGTCCAATCTGCTTTTTACGGTCATGATGATGAATGCGTTTCGCATCGTTTGGTTACATTCGTTGCGAATGCTGAACTTGTTGCGTCCAAAAGAATTGGTTCTTTAGTTTATTGTAGATGATAACTTTTTGCTGCTGGTGTTGTTGTTGTTTGTCATTGTCATTTGAGGTATTAGACTCAAAGACCAGGTACCAAGAGTAATGACTTCTAATGCTTTTGGAGGACTATTTATTTCAGCTTTACGACTCAGTCGCAGTTTTCTACCTGTTTTCCTATGCCATTAAGAGTAATTCTGGTTCTAGTCACGGAACAAGGAAAGGAAGATTTTTAACTGTCGGTCTTATTTGCACTTACATGATGGGACCAGTTTTGGCACTACTGTTTTCATACAGTTTTTGGTGGTGGTGCTGATCTCCATTTCCATGCCAGCGGTAGGATTGCCTTATTATTAAACGCACAATCGACAACAAGTATGTGATAAGAACCGGCTGTATTCACCTGTTTTCCACTCATCAGAGCGGTACTCATTTATTAACTTTATAAGTAAGAATGGTAAGTGACCCTGACCGGAACTCGAGCTCTTCACTTAGTTGTTCAGAGTGTGAAGCCCTACCGACTGAACAATCCCGGTATGAAGCAATATGTGTTAAATTCCTTTCTCAAAGGAACTCGTAAAGACAAATTGTTGACCGCGAGAATCGACTTAAGCACCTCCAGAGTTTTAATACAGCTAAACCTTTTACGCGCTATGCCATTACGCTGCTGCTGAAATCTACATTTGCAATCGTTCCTGATGTGTTTGTTGAGATCACCACCTTTAGTTGTTTGCATGAACACACCTGTTCATGATATCTCTGCTTTACGATATCCGCTGTACTTCACATCTGCCATGAGACATCGATTGCTACATCGTAGATGGAGTTATTCCTCACGAGAGAAAGATCTGTTATTCTTCTTTGTTAGCGTTGGCCAGATGATGCCATCGCTGAAGATGATGGAGCCTGAGCATCAGATGATATATGATAATGAAAACTGTTTTCTGCGTCGTTTCTTTATGTGATATGGTGTACGCGGAAAGCATAAGCTAAAGGCTGACTTTGACAAGTTATCATCTTAAATTCCTACATTCTATTATCTGCTTTTGGTATTTAGATCAGTTTGCGTATTTTGTGTGAATTAGGTGACGATATCTGTGAACCGATATCTGTTTTTCACTACATTATAAGATTTTTTCCAAAACTTATCTAATTGGAGCAGAACCTAAGTTGTCTTCATTGTAGAGGCAACGATGCAGAGATTGTCGATTTCAAGTATTGAATCAGGGTTTCGCAGTGAATCGCACGAAAACCCATATCATGGTCTCATGTGCAACGGAATCAAAATGTCAGGTCCAGAAAATTGATAAAGTTGACCTTAACATTTGATCGAAATAAAAAAAAAGACAAAATGACATTTTTGGGTTACTGGAAAAGAAAATTGTCTATTTGTCAAAAAGAAAAAGTTCTTGACTAATGTGTACTCAGTTTTGGATGCGAAAGTGGCCATTGAATGCATAACGGTCCAGAAACCACGTTATACAGTGAAACAGTAAATTTTAAAAGTCGAAGGAAGTGATAATGAATGAAAAACTGAATAAGTGCTCATGCTCTCATATATGATATCATTTTCAAGAGCAGAAATGGTAGTGGATTTTTGGCATGTCGCAAGAACGTGCTGTCAGCATTGAACGATGGGAATTTTTGATTGATCAAGAAAACTGAATCTGCCAAAGGTGAAGATTGTGATGTGGCAACAAGATGAAATCTTTAAGTCTGTCAACGTCATGAGAAATTTGTACGCAGAAAATAAAGCTCGATCAGGAGGTCTTGAAAACGCTTTTATGTGCAGCAAAGCTTTTAACATGACAGTGATTACAGCGATGAGCTCTCCATACATGTTGTATCATGTTAGCATTTTGCAGGGGGGCATCCAGCAGTTTATCCGTTCATTCACTCAATCAGTGATTAATTTTCTAAACCATCTGCACGTTAGAGGCACGAGTTTTAGGTGGGGGTGGTTTTTTTCAGCGGTACTGATCGTTCAGGTTCTACGAGCTGGTTTACAATGTGTGATGTATTAGAATGTCATATGTTTTGTACATTTGAGCCATGTATCTTTCACGCGACTTTGCAAAGCGCATTTCCCTTACGATTACTTCATATCGTATCCTGACCATTTTACCTCACCGAATCGATCGTGTTCTGTCGAGCTGAAGAAGGACCAGTTTGCAGGCTAGAGTATTTAGAATTGAACCATGTTCCAAACTTACAGCAATACTTTCAATCGATTATTTTTTAACACTTGTCCCTAAAGCGTATTCTTGTGACTAAATTACGAAATTTCATGCGAGATAGCACTACGTATTATCCGAAACCATTACAACAAGTGTGATAGACTCACCAGTGACGACTGGGTTGGGCTACCAATCAGTACTCGAGTAACGGAAATCTGCACAGCTCTGTTGTTCCAGGTTCGTTAACATTAGATGACCACCAGGGAAAGTGTAAGTGTGCCTTCTCATCTGTTTCCTTTTTGGACCTTATCACCATGTTCCCAGTTGCATATAATAAAAATGGATGAGAATGACCTGCGACTCATCTTGCTTAACCTTGAGCATCGATACTATACTGCCAGGGGCATGATAAAGTCCTATGGTAATCAAACCCCCTGCCATTCCATTTTAAATATAGATGTCGACCATTCCAGTATCGGCAATGGTTGTCAGAAGAAATTTAGAACAACTCTCTGAAATCGACTCTAAAGCAAATCTGTCTGCTTGAAATAAGTTTTTTGCATGAGTTCGAATCAAGGAACAGGAATCGTTGTCTGCATTTGAACAAGTGACTGTTTTCATCGCTGGAAACACATTGATTTCCGAAAGTCTGGTCTTTTAACATAACTTCTTGACGATGTGAAGAATTCACCCCTCTAACTGGCACACGCTATCTCAAACGTGTTTATCCTCGATTGCAGCATTTGCTCTCAATGGAGTAGCTGCAGAAAGGACTTGATGATGTTAGGTTTTGCTGTAGTTTGAAAGGAGTAGCGGATTATTAAAATGGATAGGTGCATTGACTGTTTTTGACCAGTCCATGTCTTTAAATTCCATCGTAATCTTTAATGACTCGCAGCCAGGAAACTGATCAGTTTTTTGTGTTGATGCTGATATGGGTATTATCAAAACGGAACAAGTTATTTTTCAGATTATCATAATGTTTCATTAGAATTTTCTTGAAAAAGTTTTCGACTCTTGGCCGATAATTTATCAACAGACTGTTTTATTGATTCATGATTGCGAAATTCAAATGTAGAACGTGATGGAGGAAAGATTTCACCGACAGTCGACGCTTTTCGTTGTCGTCACCGGTAAATTAAAAATTAATTTTTTCAAATTTACTTGCACTTGTTTGTTTCTGAAAAATGGATGTAAAACCACCGGAGAAGAAGTGAGAGTGCCTGAGTTCAAGGAGGATAACTTCGGGTGGGCTAATCCGCAAAAAGCCATAACTGAAAACCCTATTTAGTCTGAATTAAGGACAAACCGACATTCTGTCCAAGAAGTCTGACATGCGTCCAAAGTAGCAAAAACCATTTGTCAAAATTAAATTAGTTGAATTAGTATCCAATGAGCCGCAAGCAGCCATAGGACGAGGAGCTCAGCTATAGACATGAAAGCTTGTGGCAAAAAATCAGACGTGGACATCGAGACTAGGAAATTTTCTAGTCTCGATTTTGACTCTCCTGATGATCATTAATTTGTTGTTGATATTGTTTTATCACTCGTTTCTTTTCGAAGCTATACGAGTTGCTTATTATCCTGTGAAACGTTGCTGCAT